GGTGGGAAACCACAACCAGCCAGAGCTAGTAGCAATAGGAGCCATTACCATCCCAGCCCCAAGGGACAAGTGCTCACTCAAAGTGATGGGGCAGATGGACTCCTACAGAGAAACAGCACGCATTAGTTAAAGGACACAACCAGCTAGAAGTGACTTGACAGCAGGACCAAGGACAGAACTTCCTGGCTTCTTCCTCCTTCTCCCTCTGACATCCCACCAGCGGTCCCCACGGGCCTCCCCAACTAAAAGCAGCAGCCTAGGACGTGTCCATGCAGCACAGACAGCATCCTGAGACACAGAGAAAGAAAAGTGGAAGAGAGACGGAACACAAGAGGCTGTGCAGGAGGTGACCCGAGATCTGAGATCTGAAAGTGAACAGAGATGAGGTGTGCTCCTCCATGCCCAAGTCATGGGCAGACCAAATGTGGAAAAGTGTCAACAAGAAGCATGGCGCGCTGTCCGTGGTGACTACACGCCGAGATCAAGGCGGAAATGAGAATAGGAAATAGGATTCCGAGGATTTGGGCAGGGCAGTATACTGCACTCAGGGCTTCAGTTTGATTTAGTAGAAAGTGAAAAATAGCTGAAAGTCACTAATGACCAGGGAAGCAAAGAGAAAAGGAGAAAAGCCAGGTAGAGAAAACAGGGAGAAGTATTTCTCTCTGTAGAATGTTCTCATTAAAATAATTTTTATCTGGGCAACACTTTAAGTGAATTTCCCAGAATAGCAGAGATTGAGCTACTGTCAGAATATTTCCATTACCATCAGCATGATAAGTAAGAAATATTTTGAGGAAATAAAATGACTGTATCCTTGGAAATGGCAAAATGTACTCTAGAACTTGACCAGACACAGAACCCACGTCATCACTTCACAGAAAAGGTGCGGCTGCTGTGGACAACAGGTTGGCAGTGACTCAAAAGGTTAAACAGAGAATGACCACAGGACCCAGGAGTTTTACTCCCAAGTATGTACCCCCAAAAACTGAAAGCAAAGACTCCAATAGGCTGGTGAGCTTGCGTGTTCATGGCAGCATTATTCACAACAGCCAAAAGGTAGAAAGAGTCCAAGTGTCCATCATCAGAGGAATAAATAAAATGTGATAGGTCCATGCAATGGAATATTACTCAGCCATAAGGAGCATGAAATTTTGATATAAGCTACAACATGAATGCATCTTAAGAACACTATGCTTAGGGACCCCTGGGTGACGCAGCGGTTTGGCGCCTGCCTTTGGCCCAGGGCACGATCCTGGAGACCTGGGATCGAATCCCATGTCAGGCTCCCGGTGCATGGAGCCTGCTTCTCCCTCTGCCTGTGTCTCTGCCTCTCTCTCTCTCTCTCTGTGTGACTATCATAAATAAATAAAAAAATTAAAAAAAAAACTTAAAAAAAAAGAACACTATGCTTAGTGACTTAAATCAGACACAGAGGGACAAATATTTGATGATTTCACTTACATGCAGTACCCAAACAGGCAAATCCAGAAAGAAAGTAGAACAGAGGTTATGAGAAGCATGGGAGAAAATTTTAATTGTTTAATGGGTACAGAGTTTCTATTTGGGGCTATGATAAAGTTTGGGGTATAGATAGTGGTGATGGTTATACAACATTATGAATGTATTTTATTCCATTGAATTGTACAAACAGTTAAAACGATAAATATTATGCTATTTATACTTTACCACAATTAAAAAAAATACTGATCCCCACACAACAACAAATATTGGCATCACTATTTATTTTTGCAATATATATGAGCAACAAATACCTGGATGCTCTATTTGCATAATATTACACCAGTATTACAAATTTTTCCTCTTGATGTGAGTCGCATCAAAGAGAATGAATCCCTCTGTCTGACGGTTTGTCCTCACTTTTATAGCATCCCTTAAGTTACCATCCCTGCTAATGAAGGATATGGCAGGTCCAGTCATCCAGAGTGAGGTCTGGAACTCCACTAATAATGCTACTGTGGAGCAGACACACTGCGCTTATGCCACCATTAACAAAACACAGACACACACACACACACACACACACACACACACACACGGAGCAGGGACGGGGTGGGGGGGGGACTCCTTTCTTATTCTGAGAAGCCATTCTGAGAGACCAATTCACATGGAAGTGAAGACCTAGTTGTACAAACTGTGGTAATTTTGCAAACCATACACTGCCTGGGCTTCCGTTAAGGAAATACCGTGATTTTTAACGTTATAGAAGAAAACCACAGAAGAATCATTCAGATGCAAATGACTCATTCTGAGCCATTCACCAATGGAAGGCTTCTTGAAAAGTGCACAAGTTGAGTTGTTTGTTTAGTTGTTTTGGGTTGGTTTTTTGTGTGTTTTGTTTTTTGTTTTTTGTTTTTTTTTTTCTTTTTGGTCTATTTTACTTTAATCAGAGTAAAAGAAATAACAGAGAAAGAAAAAGGGAGTGTGTGGGGGAGAATTAGTGGTGCAGTTCCAAACTTTTACAAGTGTCTCTTTTGCATTACAAGCCCCCTGGAAGGCACAGTTCCGAGGAAGGAGCTGGGGGGGGGGGGTGGGAGGGCATGGGTGGGGGGGCAGCAGCGCTCCTGAGTCAGGACAATGGGAAATCACTCACCAAAAAGCAGAAACCTAATTTAATAGAACCGCTATTACTTCTCTTGCACGTTTAAAATCTTTCCTTAATCTTTCCGCAAGATTCATTTCTCATCTACACGAATAATAAATGTACAACTTGCACATTCAAGACAAAACTTAAAAGACTGACGGTATGTTTGTCCCAAAAAGTACATTTTTTCTATTCTTTAAGTTTCCTTGCAAAAAGTACCTCAAAAGCATCTGCTATTTTCTGTTGAGATAAATGAGAAGCAAAGGTAACTTTGTTTCAAACCTGCCTACACAATGACAAAGGTTGCTTCATCAAACAATGAGAGACGATTTCACAAAGGTATAAACTGATACATTTTTAGTTTTCTTTTGTAAACACTGAGGTTTTTAAGAGGTAGAAACTCCCCAATATCTATAAACAGGAAACAGTCTTCCAAATACTACCTTGTCTCACTTTTAGTCATCATAAAGCAAATCTCAGCGTATTAACACTGATGCTGTAGAGGAGTATTTACAGCAATAAAATGTTGTCTCGTTGTAAAAATGACTAAAAGGAAGCCCTTGAGATTAAATGCTGGTGTTGTCTTCTTACCCAAACCCACACTGGATCCTGTAACGTCCCTGAACTTTGCCTGGGTTTGAAATAGTCACTGACAAGGAAGATTCTCAGGGTCCTGGTGAATTTCTTGCCATAATGCTTTGGCTCCCCCATTGACTCCGCTACAAGCAGCCTCCTGCCGTGATCAAAAACCGTGAGCTCTTTGGAGACCGGGGCCCACATCAGCATGCTGGGGGCCTCAGGATAAAGAACCCCCAAGTCCCCAGAGGCCAGGGCGGGTGTGATTTAAATTCCACCTTCTGAGGCAGATCTGCAAGTCTGCAGAAATACCGGGCGAGTGCCCTTCTCACCCCCTTATGCCAATACCCCTGTCCTATGTGTTGGGACAGAAGTCGGAAGACAGGCCATCCTGTGTGCGGTTCCAATGTGTTCATCTAAGCAATAATTTTTTAGTGTCCAACTTTAAGATTCTACCCTGCGTTCCCTTCTTCTTTTTCCTTTTCGATTCCTAACTGATGAAATAGATCTCCTGAATGACTTATCATCGGTACAGAAAGGACTATCTTTGCCATCAAATGGGCAACAAAAGCAGGAAAGCTGACTCTGCGGGAAGTCCTGGGGGGACCCGAAATGCCATCCCTTTCAGTTAGCAATACTCTGGCCTTTTGGATACAATGGATCTAAGAATTTGCAGGAAAAGACTTTTTAAAGAAAAAAAAATAGGCTTCTTTTTTACATGGGCACTTTGTTTTTTGGGTGTCTTCTAATTTCTCAAACAAGATTAAATTTCAAAGACAGTTATTAAAATGAATAAGCAACGGGCAGCCCAGGTGGCTCAGCGGTTTAGCGCTGCCTTCAGCCCAGGGCCTGATCCTAGAGACCTGAGATCGAGTCCTGCATCAGGCTCCCTGCAGGGAGCCTGCTTCTCCCTCTGCCAGTGTCTCTGCCTCTCTCTGTGTCTCTCATGAATAAACAAATATTTTTAAAAATAAATAAATAAATAAAATGCATAAGCGAGATTATACCCCCACCTAACCTATCATTTATTAGTTCACATTCCTCTGACATCTCTTCCCACCACACCAGCACCTGTGATGATGCAACCACCACCTTCCAAAATGGAAATGATTATTGTACTGGAAACCATCATACTCATAATTTGTGATTAGATTGCTCAAATCATTCTTTTTTTTTTTTCAAATCATTCTTTAATGATTACTCTGGCATTAAAATCTAGCATATTTTCCTTTTCAGTTCACTATTTTATAGGTATTGATTGCATTTATCTGAGCTCTGGCTAAATATGGTAAGCCAGCTCCATATTCCTGTTTTATATTTACTTATTATTCTTTTTTTAAAGATTTATTTATGTATTCATGAGAGACACAGAGAGAGAGAGGCAGAGACACAGGCAGAGGAAGAAGCAGGCTCCCTGCCAGGAGCCTGACGTGGGACTCCATCCCAGGTGTCCAGGATCACACCCTGGGCGGAAGGCGGCGCTAGACCACTGAGCCACCCGGGCTGCCCTACTTATTATTCTTATTAGAAGTCCGTGCCTTTTTAAATTGGCAAAATGAGAGATATTACACGTTCCAATCAAGTCTGTTCTTTTCCTGACCTCCTAAATATATATGAATATATAAATATTCATTGCATCCTTGTTTATTTTTTAAAGCTTTCCATCAATGTTAGTGATAATTATATAATTAAATTTGGGAGCTAGAGACATCTTTTATAATGGAGGTTTACCACTCATATTTTAACATAAGAGAGATGTGACCCCAAATCTGCAATTGTGTTTCCTTTACATAATTGGAAAATGTTATTTTAACTTACCTACCTTTTTTTACTCAAAATGTTGTAAGATTATTTTCTGGAGTGCCTGGGTGGTTCAGTTGCTTAAACATCTGACTCTTGATTTCCAACCTGGTCATGGTCTCAAGGTCCTGGGATGGAGCCCCACTGGCTCAGCACAGAGTCTTCTTGGGAGTCTGTCTCTCTTTATGCTCCTCCCTCTGCTCTCTCTTCCTCTCTCTCTCAAATAAATATCCTAAAAAGATATATTAAAATTATTTTCTAGCTCAAATAATCTATATACTTATACACTTGTTATTTATAGGAAACAAAATGTAATGATGTCATTTTCATGCTTTGCCTAAAGCTAGAATATTCTGAATATCCCTCAAAAAATACCATCAAATGTTCATTTCCATTTTCCCTCTATCCTAATAGTACCAATAAATACCACCTTAAAAAGTCATAAAGCAATATTTTTCTATTACTCTATTTATTGCATATAGCTACTTTTAGCAGAAATATCCATGTCAAAATGAATGCAAAGACACACCAACAAAAATTCCTTTCACTTCCTAATGCTATGAAGAATCACCTCATTTTTATACATCCCTCCAGTTAAGTTAAAATAATGTCTCATACTTAACTTTCACTTAAACTGACTGCCCCCAACAGGCATTTAGTGATCTGAAACATAAATTGATCTAAATGTTGGTGCAAAAAAATCCACATCCATTACCAGAATGTCAACACACTAACTGTCTCTGATGTAATTTAAAAGGAGAAATCTGCAAAAGAAAGAACTGGATTTTTCCCCCTTCATATTTAGCACTACTATAATCTCTCATCTCATTCTTTTGTTATTCCCCCCTGAAACATCCAAGTCGCTGTTGAGACTTTCAGGCATAGTCTTCAGCTTGGATCTGTATCCTCAGCTCATTTTGAGGATTAATTCTGTAAATCTGCACCAGAGCCCCATGTACACGGTGGATTGAGTCTCATCTCAGTGGGAATATTCTTTCATTGGGGCGAGTACATTTTGAGCTTTGGCATAAGACCTTGAAGAACCGTTGGGGAGAAATGTTCATCTAAACTGATATTTGAGTTGGACGTTCCAAAATTACCATCCTTTTAATAATAACTTTATAAAAGAAGGAATGCCTTGAAGAAACATAATTACGTAACTCTAAGTAGAACCACACAAAACTTCTCAGGATCTTTACTCTTTCCTGTCAGTGTGTATTTTTAACAAGCTTTAACCAAAAATACATGGAGAACTGGAAAATCTTATTAGTGAAAGAACCATTTACCTTTAGATGACATTTGAAACTTGAACACCCACAGTGTTGACAGAGGGTTCTTTAAAATGCAGAGGGTGAGGTGAGTAAATAGAACATGGCAGAACCAAGGGGAATTGAGCAGCATGTGCTCCTCTTTATTTATTAAAATGTTTTTGGGCCTGTGAAGTCGTATCTTTTGAATCCATTTAATGTTGTCTGATATCATATGACCTGACAGTCAAAGAAAAACATGAAAGCTGCACAGAGCTCATATTCTCAAAGAACCAGAGAGGCAAGTTTTAAATCATATTTTTATCCCAATAAATTTGGTAGAAGTGAAAGTAGAAAATTAACAATAAAAAAAAAAAAAGAAGTATACCTGTAATTGACCACGGTCCTCTCATGCACGTTCAAGGGTTTGACCATTGAAGCTGAGGTAGACTTGAAGACCATGTGCCTCATCCAGGTCTATGCCATTGCCATTTGAGTTTTGAAAATTCGAGAAGCCTAAACAGGAGAGGCTTCACTTAAAGTTTACACCGACCACCAATCCAATCCTGCCTGTAAGTGTAGTCCTCTGTGGATTTCCTTCTCTCTTACTGTCCGGTCTCTCCTTCGGCTACAGCTCCTGCCCTGTGATTATATATAAACTCGAGCCTCCCCATTTATTACAGACAAGAAAAACAAAAGGCAAACATGTTTTTAAAATGCCCTGAAGGTTACACAGGAACCCGATACAACAGAATGCTCTGTAATAGAGGGACTGAGCCACCCAACAGCACATGTGGAAAGGAGATTTTTCACCCTATTCCTTTTGGACCTCCCAGATCATGTGAATGTATTGCCTGTCATAAATGTAAATAAATATTTTTATGGGAAGATTCCTGGAGCCCACCCTAGGCTGACTGGAACAGAATCTGTCAAGTGGGGCCCCGGAATATTCACAATAACTAGCTCACCAGGTAAACTTGATGTATAAGCACATAAGCAAGGAAGGGTTGAGAGTATAAACACAGATGGCCCGGCACTGAGAGGCCCTGTGTGTCAGGTAATACAAAGAATGCTGAAAAACCACCACTGCCAGAAAGAACCTCCCTTGCCAGCCTGCTCTGATATCTGAAATTCTTCTGTGAGACACTCTGTCTCCAATTTGTCCTTGTAAAACTGTGATGCCGGGTGGCGTGCAGAGAGAATTCCTGCCTTCAGCAGTCTCACCTTACAATCTATTCACTGCTGGTTCCCAACTGGCAAGAACTCTTCCTCGAAGAGACAGGATCTAGATACGCTCCACACATCACCACCCTCATATGCCCATTGTGACCCCCTTTGATGCCCATTTGTCACCAAAATGATTTTCATGAAGGTCACCATGGACTCTTCCACAGCCATGTGCAAGGACTTTTCTCATTCCTAAGTCTATAGACTCCACCCTTCTTGAAACTATCTCTTCCTGGGAATGAAGTGATATGATATTCTGCTGTCCTGAGTCTCCTCTTACTATAATGTGTATTTCTTTGAACCTAGATCTCTTCTTTGTCATCCCTACCCATCATTCCTGGCTCCCCTCTGCATCTTCACGCAGTCACCTCATACCTAAGTATTTCCTATGCTGTGCTCCCCCACCTAAATGTATACCTTCTTCTCCTGCCTCTCCCACGCCCCACCCTGAGCATCTCATCTCCCTGCCTGAAGTCTTACCGAAACCACCGTGTCCATAGCTGTATCTACTAGCTGTAGGCCAGGCACTTGCCTAAATATTTTGCAGACATGAACTCATTTAGGGATGAAGGAAGTGAAGTACCTACCAGCTCAGTTACTTTATTCAGATCACATTGCTATTTTATGATGAATGAGATTCAGACCCCGGGCAGCCAGTTCAGAGCCACATTCTCAACAATCATGACATGTTGCTTCTCAGCATCAGTTTGATATTCATCTGCATAGCTTCGATCTGATCACTTCCTGGTCAAAAACTTTTGATGTGCCCTTGTTGAATATTGAAATGTTTAAAAATGCATAATTGGGAACTTAAGACTAGAAATTGATCTTATCTCAACTTCATTTTACAGCGACGTCTCCAGCTATTATTCCCTTCCACACTTTGGAAGAAAGTATTCCAACGAGTAAATAAATTATTCCTGATGTCAAATTACAGTTTAAACTTTTTCCCTCTGGTTTCAACTTTTCTTTGTACCTATCAAAATTTTACCAGAAGTCTGTCTATAGTCCAAAACTTTGGTATGTATAGGAAAAAAGAAAAATTCAAACCAGAAGTAACAGAGACCACATTTAGCCTCTTACCTGAAACAACCAGCAAACCAGAAATATATGTATGAAAAAACAATTTCAAGCATTGAACATTAGACAACAAAGATAATGATGCCAAAGACACAAAAGGGATGAGTCCTATCATCACCCCAGCGCACTTCCCACAGAAAGTTTCCAAGCTGAGCCACCAGAAGGGAAATCCCAGGCTGAGTCTGGCAGTTGCTACGAGTTGAGGAGACAGAGTTGGGAAAGGTCTGGAGGTGCGGGGGTGCTCTAGTTTGCAAGGCGGAGTATCACTGAGCTATAGGACAACTTCAAGAGTTCTAATACAAGTGTAATTGGAGTCCCCAGTAGGAGAAGAGGGAAGAAGGAGAAAGAAAGAAATAACCAAGGATTTACAAACCAGAACCTTTCAAAATTTGGTGAAAACTATACACCCACACATCCAAGAAGTTCAACTAGCTCCAAGAAAACGAAACATGAAGAAAACTATACAAAGATGCACCAAAATCAAATCACCCTAAACCAATGAAAAAACACAAAACTGATCCAAAATAAAGCAGGAAATGAGCAAAAGAAAACAAAGAGTAGATGAGACAGAGAGAAAACAAAAGCAACATGGCAGATAGAAACCCAATCATATAATACATATATATATATATATATATATATATATATATATATATATATGTAATGGTGTAAATGTACCATGTAAATGCAATCATTGTCAAATTAGATTTTTAAAAAACCCAAGATCCAACTATAACTGCCTTCAACAAACCCACTTGAAATATAAAACACACATAGGTTAAAAGTAAATGGGCAGAGGAAGATATATCATGCTAATAGTATCAAAAGAAAGCGGGAATGACCACATTAACAATCAGACAAAGCAAAGAAAATTATTAGAGATTTTAAGTCATTCTCATATTTGATGAAAACTTTAAACTCACTCATCTAAGAAGTTCAACAAATCCCTAAAGGAAAGAAAGATGAAGGAAAGTACGCAAAGGCACATCAAAATCAAATTGCAATTCTTCATTCCACATCAAAATCAGCAAACATACTCATCATCTGAAAACACAATCCTAAGCAGGAATGTGAGAGTCCAGAGTCTTCCCTATGCCACAAGGGGCCACCACTGGTTCCATAATGAAACAAATGGTGGCAAAAAGACCTGAGACAGGAGAGATAGGCATGTGCCGTGCGTCAGAGCTGTGGATTTCTTTTTAAGTTTTTATTTTAATTATCTGGCACTCATCACAACAAGTGCATTTCTTAATCCGAATCCCCAGTTTCCCCCATGCCCCACCACCCTCCCCTCCAGTGATCATCAGTGAGTTCTCCACAGTTAAGAGTCTATTGCTTGGTTTGCCTCTCTCTTTTTCCCTTTACTCGTTTATTTTGTTTCTTGATTCCATATATGAATGGAATTATATGGTATTTGTCTTTCTCTGATTGATGTATTTCACTTAGCATTATAGTCTCTAGCTCCATCCATGTTGCTGCAAATGGCAAGATTTCATTCTTTTTTTATGGCTGAGTAATATTCCACTGTGTGTGTGTGTGTGTGTGTGTGTGTGTGTGTGTAGCACATCTTCTTTATCCATTCATCTATCAATGGACACTTAGGCTGCTTCTACATCTTGGTTATTGCAAATAATACTGCTTAAAATTCAGGGTTCATGTATCCTTTTAATTGGTGTTTTTGTTGAGCTACAACTTTTGTCCTGGATCCCATGAGGAACTGTGGAAGGATTCTGTGCAAGGCAGTGGCATGAACAAGTGTTAGAGGGAAAAATACCTTTCTGACAGCAGGTTCAAACAGATTTGTGGGGCAGAGCAGGGGGAAATAGGAGAATAGGCAAGAGGAAGCAGCAGCTGGATGTGGGCAAGAAGAGCTAGGCTGGGCAGGCAAGTGAGTGTAGAAAAATCAGGGAAAACACTGTCACAATCATCCAGAAATGGTGAGCCTTCTAACTACTCCATTATTATCTACCCTCCAAACAGCACTGTGAGCATCCGGAGGACAACAAATGTCTTTCTATCTCTCCATCACCAGCATGGAGCATAAAGCTTGCCATAAAAATTTTTTAGAACAAATGAAAGAATGGATCTGATGGAGACTTCTATTTTTATTTACTTTTTAAAGTCAGAGACACTGATATTTATAATTCTAGAAATTTCTCACGTTTCTTTTTTTTAAAATTTTATTTATTTATTCATAGACACAGAGAGAGAGAGGCAGAGACACAGGCTCCATGCAGGGAACCCGACATGGGACTCAATCCCAGGTCTCCAGGATCACACCCCAGGCTGCAGGCAGCGCCAAACCGCCGCACCACTGGGGCTGCTCCACATGTAAGTTTTTAAGGCAAAAAATATACCCAATCAAATGGAAGTCACATCCCCTCTTAAACATTGCTCCAACCACATATGTAATTCTAGATACACTGCACATCTAATTTCAATGAAATCATAGATGACGTTAGCGTGGCTCAAGAATAAAACAACTAGATTTGCTTCAGGTCTTTTGGAAACCATATCACAATTGTATTGTTTCCTTGGGAAATAGTCACACCCCCAAGTACACAGGAAAACACACACACTTTGTTGAGAGCAAAGAGAGGAGGAGGAGAGCAAGAAGGAAGACTTTTCTAGTAATTATAATTTCAGACTAAAGATATAGCACTGGCAACATTCCCATTTTTCATTGAATTTCCTTTCATCTCTATTAACATTGAATACCACTCCAGAAAACAAAACCGCAACAGAAATTAAAATGTGTTAACTAAAATTTGGAGATGTTCATGTTGTGCTACAGCTTTTGCATTTTGAATTACTTCCTGATATAAAAATTCCCCCATTTAATCTCAATTTTTTTAAATCATTTTACTACAGTTTCTCCCAACCATCTATGTGCTAAAAATTACACTTTTAAGCAGAAATAAATACATTCTTATGCATAGTGAAGGAGAGTCTCCCACAATTAGAGATGTATGGCAAAATGAGAAGAAAACAAAAAAGCCAAGCTTTGGAATCCCAAGACCCGGTTCTGTGAGTCGCTGACTAGGTGGCCTCGGTTACTCTCTTACAGACACTCGGTTTCCATACCTGTAAAATGGGAATGTATCACACACTCACACACGATTCCCAATATTTTTGGCCCCACCTCTTACTCCAGCCTCTGCTGAAGAGAACAACTGGACTCAACTTCCACTGGCTTTGAGAAGGTAAGAGGGGAGGCTTCTCCTTTCAGAGCTGCACCAGGATGTGTCCTAACACCTGCGTGTGGTCCCCATGGAACATGCCGCAGCA